ATAGATAAAAAATAAACTAGCCAAAACAACGTCCTCTATCATAAAAGTCATCCATATCTTTCTCTTCCTCGACATCAATGCAAATTAGTTTTGGTGCTGTGTACGTAGATTCTTCAGAAGATACTGTAGCTGTAGACGATATTGATACAGCTCTCTTTCTTTGAACATCGTAGATTGATAATTGTTATAGTGTTTTCAGATTCTTTTGTAAAAACTATATTTGATTTGTCTTCTCAGATTGCAAACGCGTTCTTTTGTCTGTGATAACATTTTTTGTTGCTGAAAAAAGACGTTCTACGATGGTGTTTGAGGCAGGTATTGCACAAATTATTTTTGATAATTTTACTAATTGAGGAAAAGTATGCCGATTTTCCTGCCAAAATGATAGTATATCAATATCATCTAAATCATTATCATTGTGAGGAATATCGCTGTAGTCAGCATTTTAATAGTTTTCAATTTCTTGATACGAATTTGATGATTGGGGTCGATTAGTAAGTTTCGAGTCAAAACATTGTGTCAATAAGCTCTTTCGTTTTGGGGTAGTTGCAATCGTTGATGTTTGTGAATGGCTTGCATTGTTGTTTTGTAACACATTTGATGCAATCTTTTGCGTTAAAGAATTATTTAATTCAAGTTTGTCATATTCTTGTGTTAATACATCTATTGACCTTTCCTTTTCATCTCTACAAAACTCGAAATTCTTCAATTTCGAGTGCAGAATAGTGGCTCGACGATGGTAGCCATTAATGTACCAGGCATTTTTTATTCGTCGTGCTAAAATTATGAAAATACACATCAGATACTAAATTCGAAAAGTTTTGAGTTCATGTTTTTACCTAAAAAGGACTTCAATTGCATAATTACAGTTGAATCCGTTTCTTTTTGATTACAGTGTTCAATCAAGCATTGCCTATGCGGCATTACTCGATGAAGGCAAGGTTGCCGATCTTTACTTAGAGCATTAGTTACATCTTGAAAAGGCTCGAGAAAATTACAAATATCATCAAGCAAATCCTTTTCAATGGCGTTGAAATTTTCCATCGCATTACTATTGATTAATACTTCTGGTAAATTTTGATACATTTCACGAAAAATATCCAACATAATTATTGCTCCAGAAAAACATGTTTCACTATAATTTTGTAATTTGCGAGGCAATTTTTGTTGTTTATGTGAATGTCTTACAAAAAAACACAATTTGTTTTACATGACCAAAAACAGTTTGAGCTAATTCTCAACCAACAACTTCAAATGTACTTCTATTCGAATGTATTTTTTCTGATTGAAATGCATATTGTAACTGCTTGTTAAGATAATGATCAGCACAACCGATACGACAACATTATTCTCTAAATGCTGCTAACATTTTTGCTTCATTGTCCGTTACAGCAAATTTTGTTGTACCAAGTACTAGTTTGTATTCCGCTAATACTTTGTTCACAAATTCACGAAGATATTGTGCCGAATGACTGGCAGCATTATAAGAAACGCATCCAAGAATGAAAGTGAATAATTGAAAATCATCTGTAACATATCTTAGAGCAACACTACAATAACTAATACCAAGATAAAAATAGAAAATTATATTGAGATTCTAGCTGTCTGAAATCAGAAAATACTATATTTAATACTCTTACCAGTAGGAGTTTCTGTCCATTGATCCACTATAATACAATAACTAGTTAATTTTTCGCAAATATTGATCAACTGTAATTTATATTTATCTTACAATGGACTTATATTTTTACTAATATAAAAACAATCCAGTACTAGAATTGATTGGTTTAATGTTTCGCTGCTCTTACAGTTGTAGGATGTAGAAGAATATCAGTCACTTCAAATTTTGATCTACTTGTTAACTGACCTACTTCAACCAAGATCTTGACTAAATTTTGAAACCCGACACCTCGCATAACATCGAATGCACGTCCATCAAGTGCACAAAACTCTGCGCAGGCTTCTATAATATTGATCTTTGTTTTCTTTGATAAATTTAATGGTTTTGAGATCGAAAAAAATCGTGAACAGTTTTCTGAGACTCAAAATTTGATGTATTTTTTTTCAAACATACGTTAACATGTGATCGTAAAGTATTAGTACCGTTTAATGATGAGTACATAAATAATTCTTTACAAGTATTGTATGAAACAAATTGTTGTTGAACGTTGTGCACAAAAATATGATGAAAAGAATTCCAACATTCACTCGATTCAGCGTTTTTCTTTTTTGGAACGAATCTTATTGATAAATCATCATCTTTTATTAATGTTTGAAGTTCTTTTTTCGACGGCATCTTGCTGTTCATAATCTTCTTTAAACAAAGACAAATACTAAGAACATAACAGATACATCCATCGCGATGTTTCTTCAATGATTCGCTGTCTTTCTTCAACCATTCACAATATATGATTCCACCATCACTTAGATGTCGCTAAATCATAAACAAAAATTTCGGAGTCTTTCGGAGTCAGAATCCGAGTGAAACAATTGAGTAGCGCTGACCACTATCGTATAGTGTCAAACTTTATGATGGTAACTTTTGATTAATAATGGTTATCAAATACGACAGAAACCATCCAAATATTCATAGTGGTTCTATTTTTTTGGCAAATGAAAATCGTTTGATTTTTTTTAAATTTTACTGTCTTATACTTTTATGAAATAATGAAGTTTTATTATCGCATTCTGAAAGAACGTATGAGAATCTAAATAATCTGGTATACTAGAGAGAAAATACTTCTTCATGAAAAATAAAATTTTTCATACAAACGAATTCTGTTACGTGGTTCTATAGTTTCGGCCAGTACTGTATATTGAAGATTCCCAAATAAATAATAATGGAATCGATCAAGCTTATATTAAAAATTAAACTCAAATTTATCTAAAAGACTCAGACTGCCAAAAATTTATATCATCTATAAATCTACCATATTTCTGAATCCGATTCTGTAAAAAAATTATCTCACTATCTTCCTAATTTTTCTCTATGCTATTTAGCTTGAGCTTTTCATCATTTTAAATTCTATTTTTATTTTGTTCAGTTTGTCTATCTGAATTTTTACTAGTGCTTATACTATCAAATGCAGAGCCCTGATGAGTTTTTCAATATTTAAATAAATAACACGAAACGCGTCAGCGAATTAAACTCTGCATTCTGTTTATTAATTTAATTCAAGCACATTAATCTCTTATCTTATTTAATTTTCAACAAAGTCGATTGCTGAAAGGCAAACATTGAGAACAGCAAATTGATTTTCATCTGAGAGATATAGATCTGTCTTGTTTTTTTTATTTACTTAAATAATATCAAAGTGAAATAAAAATGTCTTTTAAATAACGTCCTAGT